AGGGGGGGGGGGGGGGACTGAAATAGTCGGTGGCTTACGTGCCTACCATTCAACATGATCCCGAGCAACTTCTATCTACCTAATCTACCATAACATCTTTGCTGCCAAAGAGCCCTGCCAATGCTATCTCACGGCTGAGAAAGGCTTTTTTCAAAAATCTTAGCCAAATCCCAAAGGGAACAGGGGGGAGAGGGCCTTGATAATTTTTATAACTGAGTATAAACATTGTATTAATACATATTTCCACGATGCCCAATCGCAAGTTACGACACAATATACGCGTACAACAAAGGTTTCTCAATCCCAACCCAAGTCACGTCCCTTACCGTTGTATTCTCCTAGATTTCACTAACATTTCTAGACAATCTACATTATCTATGACTTTCTGAAACTTAATTTTCAAGCATTTGCAATTCATGTACTTATGCGAGAAAAATATGTTTTATACCCTCAAAAGGCAAAACGTTTCACATATCCTAATCTTCGGTGTCCTGGGAAGTTGAGCAGTTTTTTAACTGAATAATAATGAGCACTTCCAAAGTTTATTCTTCTCCTAATTTCATCAAGAAATTTTCAATTAAAAAAGAAAGAACAGAATAAAGAAACAGTTGTGGTTATGTACCTGGATCCGAGATGAATCCCTCAGTATCGGTGGATCATTCCAACCAGGTGGAGTATTCACTGGAGGAACACCTGGGGTCACACCGCTAGGCTGAGCATTTACGTTATCTGCAGGATTGTAAATATCTGCGGCTGGATACAATGTATTGGCAGGCTGGTTAGGATATGATGGTACCGCTGGGTTGTTTGGTACAGGCGTTGCATTGAAACCGCCAGGGTACATGCTCCCTGTACCACCATACTGTGGTCCAGTCTGTACGGACGGGTCGCGTAGATACGGCTTGCGAGAAGTGGCGCTACCTCCACCTGCACAGATAAACATAACGTGAAATAACTGGGTAAAAAAATTACATGGTGTCCACACCCTGAAATCTCACTGTTGCGATATCAAATCTCATTTATGAACATCTACTGTCACTACAGATTACAAGCAACGCAAAGAAACTATACCTGGATCTAGTAACTGCAACACATTTTACAGATATTCTCATATACTACATCACATATAAATCACAATAATATTTAAATTCAGAACCAGTAGTTTTAAAGTCGTAAGTCGTAGGTTATTGTAGGATTTGAGGTTTTCAAGGCGGTGAGTCCGAAGAAGGCTGTCTTCTAGGTTGTAGCGCCGTGTAGTCTGGTAGAAGATTACATCGCCCTGATGACGGAGGTATCAAAGACCTCTGAAACGTCAGTAAACTTCTACCAGACTACACAGCGCAACAACCCAGAAGACAGATGATGTTTCCAACTTTCCTGCTTTCAAAACATCTATATTCCAATAATACACAAAACCCTAGACTTTACAGCCACTACTGCCAGTAAGCTTGTTCATAAAATTGCGTAAACACAACAACTTCTCGACAGAGAACAGAATTCCATTTCTTCCACCTCAAAATATTTGCAGTTTATCACTGCTCTGGGGCTACTGACCTTTTAAACAGTTCTATAAACAAGCTCCGTTTAAAGAAAGTGTAGAAAAACTCTTTACCAGACTGTAACAAGTACAAAACTACTCAAGAGTCTGCGAGTAAAAGCTACTTACTCCACCTTAAAAAGTTTGAAGAGTTATCCCTAATCTGGGCTGATTCCCAGGCATTCTCATAAACATCTTGTTTCAATGGTGAGTAGGACCTAGCATATGATGAAGTAGAACCTAAGGATAACATTACCAACATCCTTTATAAAATTACTCTCACGATTAAATATAAAGAATTTTCAGATTTGTAATAACCATTTCTGGACATAGAAGCTTTGGATGTTTGAAATGTGCAAGTCAACACAGATTACATCCGACTTCATCCCTTCTTAATAAGCACCAAAATTATAACAAAACAAATCTGCTGATGAGAAAAAACATACCAATTTTTTTTAAACAGGAAATATAACATTATAGTATATTTTTTTACCACCGTATTGGCATTACAGGTAGCCCTCGATTTGCGCCGATTCAGAATAATGCCATTTTGAAACCAGAAAGTCAAAAAGTGGGGGGGGGGGGAAATTACTATTATTTATAACGTTTCACAATGTTTCTCGTACTGCTTCTCATACTAAATCGTAATTCTTACATCGCTGATTTTGAATACAAAATTTTAAATAAAGTCATCTCTGCAATTACGTATGTTTCGTTAACGCGAATTTGCTCCAGTGAGATCGATGGATCGGTAAAAGCTGTTTGTGAAATGCAAACTTTTGCACACGTAAGTTTGTTCTTATGCAATTTCATTCCTGGCGCTTTTAAACTTTCAAAGGACTAATTTAATCTCTGCGGAGGTACTGGGGTTACTTTTAATACGCGATTTTCAATTGGTCGGCATCTTATAAGAATGCAACTATCGCATAACAGCAGAGATGACTGTACACATCAATCACATGAAAGAATCACAGACCAACGAATTGCCGATTGTAAGTGTATAAAATATTTTTTTTTTAAATTCCCTTTATTTTAATTACCTTATTTCAGAGCTTTAAGTGTAATGCCATTACATTACTCGTCAAAGTTTGGGTGCTGGGAACGCATGTCATTGACTTCCCATTGATTTACATTATAAAAGAGTTTCAACTTACGCCGATTCCGTTTACGCCGGTTCGTCCAGGAACGCATCCCCGGCGTAAATCGAGGGCTACCTGTATAAACACTTACATAGTCTATCTTCTAAACCCTCCATGTATTTATAATGGCTAAATATGTAGATGAATAATCCCAAAAAACAGACTGAGCTAACAACAGTGTGAATAATTAAGCCACAAATAAAGAAAAATACCACAAACCTACCAGACTGATTAAGGGCACCAGAAACAGCTTGAGCGCTGAGTTGACTGGGATTTCCAAATCCATCGTGTGTCTGGGATGCTGCTGACGATGGTGGAGCAGGAGAAAAAGGCTTGGGTGGCACCACTGTCTGGGTAAATTGCTGCGGAGTGCTAGGTTTCGCAACAGAGTTTGCCGGGTAGAAATTTGGTACAGTCGGACTATTAAATGGTTTTGCTGCTGTTTGTGGTTGCTGGGCGGGGAACAATGAAGACTGAACTGCGGGTGCACTGTATTTTTGTCCATACAGTACAGATGATTGCTGCTGCAACACAATACATTTATCTATAATAAATAACGTTTGTTAGTTGGTCATCATTTTGTAATACTTACATGTTTACACAGCGACACGCATGTATCCATGGAACTACTATTAATTATTTGGTGTCTCTAACGACACTACAGTGGCACCATCATTATATTAAATCATAAGATAAGCAATGATTTCAATTTTTGATTGCTGCTGTGTGGAAACAATGAACTCAAGCAAAAGACTGTTCACTCATCCACAGCTTACAGATAAATTATGAGACATTAACCTGGGAAGAGAAAGTGGGTTGCTGAGTAACTGCAGGTAACCTGCCAAAACTGTGCGACACAGCTCGTTGCTGTTGCTGTTGCTGCTGCGGCTGTGGCTGCTGCTGGTAGGCTGGACCGAGGCCAAGTGCTCGGTATAAACGATCACGCAAAAGCACCATCTGTTCCTGCACACAGAAAAGTCAGCCCTGTTCTAGTAAGTTAACTCCATTACTATTTTAACACACAATCACAGAGAAAGTCTAACCCTCAAATTCCGTACCGACAGAACAATAATCATGTCATAATATGATGGCTGTTACGTAGCTTAGATGATTAGATGCTAGCTCCTCATCGTGGAGGTCTGGATTCAATCCCAGGGCAGCGTACGTGTGACGGATGAAGTGACACAATAAGGCAGGAAATTAATACGAAATGCATCAGATAAATGTTTACCAAAACATATCTTTTAAACACATTTTAATCTGCTTAACTACTTTCAGGTGTATGTATAATTTAATTAGAATATTTATCCTTACAAAGGGAAGACAAATTAATGAACATTACAACTAAAGTTATTAATTTTATGTGTGGAAGAGTAGCAATCTGAAGTCCAATTTATCGTTGGCTCGATCTATAGATATTCGGTAGGACTCCTTGGATGAGGGATCGGCCCGTCGCAAGGCCTCTACCTGTACACAGGACAGCACAACACAGAAAAACATCCATGGCTTGAGTGGGATTCGAACCCACGGTTCCAGCGACCAAGAGGCACAAGGCCCACGCCTCGGACTGCGCGGTCACTGCGGACCCTGATGTTTAAGAGGTGTTTGCTGCCTCCATCATCAGGGAGGCAGCCATAACCACTGAAATGTCAGTAAACCTTGGCACAACGTCCCAAAAGACAATCATCGTCATACTCCCTGCTGCGAGAAACTGAAATATCACAAAGTTATACGAGTTATAATAATCTATTATAACGAGCCTTCTTACATCTTCGGAGTTCTGCAAGTATGTGAGAGCAGTCGTCGTGTTTCCCTGCGAAGCAAGCACGGCAGCATAATGCGACAACACCTCGGCTAACTTGCCAGACACCTCCACGGTCCGCCCCTGCTGCTCCACTGTTTTGCGCAGCAACACCACCAGCTCCACCAAGTCCTGCAGCTTGGCTGGAGTGTCAATCTTCTCTGCTGCCGTCCAACTCTCCACAAGTTTATTCAGGTTGCCAGCACAAATGTAGCACAGCTGTGCATTCAGAGACAAAGTGCCTTTACCCTCAGCTTCCAGCCGTTCTCCCAGCAGCTCTGCACAACACAATTAAATTACAGAGTAACGGAAGAAACAAAGCACGTGTCAGAATGATAAATGATCCACTCCATTCACGTCTGCTGGAGTACGCCTGCCACCTTTCTACACTTAGACATCAGACAATGGCCACCATCTGTTCTTTATCATAATTTCCTTATTTTAAAAGAACATATTCATGTGACGACACTGCTCGTTTGGGTCGTAATGCTATGGACTTGTACAGATACCAATAGTTTGAAGAAACATTATGTCTCCATCTTCAGGGCTGAAGCTGACAGTTTTAAATTGCCTCTGATAAACAAAAATATCCAGTTTTGGCAGTGAATTTGTTACTACGTCTGATTTGTATTTGATAAGTACCCCACTTCAAATCTTGACCAAAGCAGAAGCTACTCTTAAGTATTTCTTGGTTTTTCTTAGTTTATTCTATAAAATTTCTAGTTATAAATCTGAAATATACCACTACCACAATTTTCAAACAACTTCAGATTAACATTTTATTATAACCTGTGAAGTATGTCTAATCAGTGCTTTCATATGAAAATATACTGTAACAACTGGTAATAGAGAACTTCAGTATCTTCTGTTTCTTTCACACAAAATCCCAAGCATAATGAAAACACGATGCCGTGCCGTACCGCAGATATTTTGGAAAATTAGTTTGTCTGAAATGTCAGCAAGCCAGTCTAGCAGAACAGGCATCGGCACCCACGAAATAAAAATGAAAGTCGCAACAAACCACCAAGAAAGACGCGAGACCTTTTCTTACCACAGAGGGCAGGAAACTCCTCATTCCTTGTGTACGTCAGCACGGCTGCTAAGGCTTCCTTCCAGCTTTCAACTTCACATGCTCTGATCACCTGACTCCAGTCTTCTGTCACTACCGCAGAGATTATTGTTGAAAGGTAACCGTTTGTTTGCTGTGAAGAAACCAGTCTAAATATATTACTTTTAAATTTGTGAATAAAATTAAAAATGATGAAATACAAACAAAATTATAAATATATTAAACAAAAAATTAAATCGCGGAACAGAGAGCTGACTGGTTAGAACGTTTTAGATTAACTTTTATATTTTCCACGAATCCCTGAATATCATTCGATGACCCTCATAGGAGCCAACATGTTCATTTCGACTCAAATTTCTGCTTAACCCAAATTTATACTAAACCTGTATGTGATAAAATGCATTACCTGAAAGTAACGATACTGGGTCTTAGCCAAGAGATCGCTACCACCAGTCATGGCCAGGATGATAGCATCTGCCATACGTCCGTTCTGGAGACACAGTTCAACTGCAGCCTCTGTGTTGCCCAGTAAGAGTGCCTGACAGATCAGTCCTTCTGCATCTGTAAGACATTCAGTTCTAGACGATTCTGATTTTGCAAAAGGGAGAAAGGAAAGATTTTCAGGAAAACAATAAAACCTGCAAGTTCCTGAAATACCTAACTGACTCACTGATACAGTATCACGTTTTGAGACACCACCCAAAGTTTGCAAACTTGAGAATTCACATTAAATTAAAATTAAATTAAATTAAATCCGTGGCGTAACAGCTCCAGAGAGCCAAAGCCGACTAGCTTGACTGCTGGCCTCACGTTCACATGCCTAAGCTGAGGTGAACGATCATCCAACCAGATATCGGGTGACGTGTGGTCAGCACGACGAACCCCCAGCCATTGCTAGCTTTCCTGACTGGATTACGCTACTCATTGTAGCTCCCCAATTTCCTCACGATGCTGGGTTGGCACCGGTCCCATACACCGGTCGAAAGCCCATGAGAAAATTTCTTCTTCCCCCAAGACTCGAACCAGTGTGCATCCCGTATCGCTGGTCCGAAGCATGATGCCTCGGACCGCGCGGGACCTTGAGAATTCACATACTTCCCATATTTCTTGTAGTTCACGTATACGCTATATGTCAAATTCATCAAAATATCCTCTTTTTGCTCCTCATGGAGCATAGGTGCCTCCTTTCGGAGGTATTTATCTTCAACAGGCCAAATGTTCTTACCATCTGCAATTGATATTTTGAATGGGTCAGCCGGGATCTCAGCCACTTTATTTGTATGAAGACTCGAAGCTGCCGCAATCATGTCAAATGCTGCGCTCGCATCTCCATCTGGCAACTGTGAAAACAGACTCATTATGACATAAATCTCATTAGTCCTAAGTACACTGCAACACAGAAAGTTTTGATTTCCACTCTGATAATATGGAAAAATATTAACCCCTTCACTGTTAAGAGTGAAATTGATCTGCCATGCAGAATAGGATGCCGTGCATTGAAGAACGCTGTGTCAGGCACACGGAGAGCCTTACCGATTGCTACGTTTATTTTCCGTTCCAAGAAAATCTACAGCAATGAAGCGTAAATAACTAAAAGGTAACAAAACTCATTGTCTTCGGCACACTTGCATACTTGATCTGAAGCGTGACTTCCCAGTCATATGAACATAATAAAACAATATTCTGTACCAACGAAAACAAAGGGCAAAAACATATTACAGAATGAAAAGAAGTCTAAACATACGAGGCGCGTCCACAAAGTAAGTTTCCCACTCGTCCCACAGCTAGCAAACCTTATATTGCGCGAAGCGACTGTGCGTACGTGATAGAGCAATGACGTAGCATGGCGCATGCACTAACGGAACTTCCCGCATTCTCACAATAGCATCGTTGCAGCTGTTGAAGATGGAGGTTCTTATTCCAGCTCCCGCCGACTGTGAAGTGCGGTCAGTGATAACGCTAGGCCGCACACGGCTCGACGGACAGCAAGTCTCCTGCAGAAGTTCAGCTGGGAGGTGTTTAATCATTCACCCTACAGCCCGGACCTCGCTCCCAGTGATTTCCATCTTTTCCTACACCTCAAGAAATTCCTGTCCGGTCAGCGTCAGCGTTTTGAGAATGAAAGAGAGGCGGAGATGGTTGTCACACAGTGGTTCCAATCCCAGGCGGCAGACTTCTACGACACAGGTATTCAAAAGTTGGTCCCACGGTATGACAAATGTCTCAATTCCGGTGGCGAATATGTTGAAAAATAGCTGGACACTTGCTGTATCTGTTGCAATAAATATTTCCATGAAATTGTGTTTTGTTTCTGTAAACGGCCCCAGCGAAACTTACTTTGTGGACGAGCCTCGTACATGAAAAACATAAAAGACAAAAGAAAACTCTTTCGTATCATTAATTTGACTGAAATCAACAGAACAAACAGTTTATTGGTGAAAACATTTCTTTTCAGATAGGTCAGCGTTCATATTTGCAATTATGAAGTTTTGGAACAAGTGGACATAAACTATTCAACAAAGTACAGTATCACTGGACTGGCAATATTAGGTAAGAAGCTTCAACAGAACAGAGAATAAAACAAATACAAAGCAGCCTTTGAAGATGTACAGTACATACAGAATGGCTTACCACGGAGGTAGACTGAGGACTTTCAGAGCAATCTGCCTCTCCATCAGAGTCACTCTAGAATAGCATAACATAAAGTAGGGCAGGTTAAGATACAGCACACCCAAAAAAGGTTTGTATTTCTACACCAAAATGCCACCAAGCCAAACTACCACAAACACAGGAGCATAAGATTCTAATTTACACACAAACATAAAATACGCAACAGTTAACATGATTTTGGAAGAACTTGTGATGCCGTTCACTTAAAACCTTCCATGTACACAAAGACAGAGAAACCACACCTTAAAGATCAAACATCTTAATGTTCTGTCTGCGTGCATGACTACAAGTAGCATACACATATTATATATTAGACGAATGCTGTAAATCGTAAGCTTAAAGTTACGAACAGTCATACAGTTCTTAATTTTTAACACACACAAAAAAAAATCGTAGGATTATTTACAATCTACGTAAAAATAAAGATATTCAAACAGGAAGAAACTTGATGAGATTTCAGGTTCTCACGGTGACAGGTATGAAAAATGGCGGTCTTCTGGGATTTTGCACTGTGTACTCTGGCAGAAGTTGACTGACGTTTCAACAGTTATCAATGCATCTACCATCTGGGTGATCAAACTGAAATATTTGTAAACTTCTTGCTATAAACTACCCACCCTGAAAGAGAGCACTGTTCTGCATCTTACAGAGGTGAATAAAAATGCATGATTTTGTATGATTCACTTGACTCGGGTCCAGTTACTGCAGCTACCACATTAATTTGTTCTGCTGTCATGGTCGTAGGCTTACAGTAAGACCGGAATCAAATGTGTCCGTACAATTTAACGATCACAAACGTGACATTAGCACGACTCAAGTAGTCAACTGTCCATCTTTCTATATGTCTCCTGATTTTCATTGGTTCCAAGGACAGCAAAATTATATGATGGGATACAAAAATGAACTTACGTCACGTCCGAGTGCTCCCACCCTGTCACTTAATCCATCCACATCTCCAGCAGGACCAGCATTAGCAGGCTTACCAATATATCTACCAAGCTATAAAAAAAAATCAGATATGTGTATTACCGAGAAAATTACAGCGCGTAGTATTGCACATGAATATTATTTTGAAGTTACTTGACGTAGAAAATTTCTCCAAAATTCATTCAGGCCTTAAGCTCTCCCTCTGCAATCCTTTCCGATTCAAAGTGTACAATCAGTCTCACATCATTAGACACCAAATAACCTTCGTCGCCACTACTATACTGACACGGTTTTCAAGAACAAGTTCTAAAAAAAACAAAAAAACATTTTATTACGTGCGTGTAAAATTACAGGTATTGTCGGCGAGGCACAAGGGTAGACCTGACAACTTTGAGGGAGGTGGGGTAGAATTCTGTGCTACTATCGGACCGAAAAACATCCGCAGCTTATACAGGCCGTACGTCGTGAGTTAATGTACTGACCGACTGATAGCACAATGTTCTTAGGCAAGGAATACATCACCAGCGCATGCGCAGAACCCACTTCCCCCCCTGCCACACAAGCAACGGCTGACAAGGCCACGTCTACTCTCGTGCCTCGCGGACAATAGATACCAGCATCAGCCCTGAAGATGGAGTTAGCATGTTTATTTTAAATGCCTGTGTCTACGAGTCTACACAGTATTACAACCCAGACGACCAAAACCAACAAAATTTTGTCATATTACCTTGCTATTTATTTCATCTGGTTTAAAACCCAGTAAGCTAAGGAGTTCGGCACGCGTGTTAGTCTCAAAGCTGGCACGAAGAAAGTTCCAAAGAGAGCGCTCATGAGGTACCGTGCTGGATAAAATCTTGACTTGGCAGAAGTCGGCATACTTGCCGTACTGCAAAGCCGATTCAAACTGGTTAGAACGGGCGATCAGTCCCGGCTCTGTCACCACCTGACTCACGTACACCGCGTGCATCACGCCAGTCTGTCCAGCCCGAATTGCCTCGTTGGTAAATGACACCAGTTTACCGCCAAACTGCAAATAAATAAAAAAATACTAGTGACAAATCTTCTTCCTAATTATAGTAATATCACAAATATTTTCATAAAAAAGTTTCCCTGCGCCCAAGCCCATTCCATGAAGATATATAGTACGAGTGTAGTTAAAGCTCCACACATTTGTAACTTCAGTACTCGATGCAGGTAAATTTCACGCCCCGACCGCTTCGCGTCGAGTGAGAGTACGAGCTGCCCATTCAGTAGCACATCTGGTAGGACGGATAGTCAATCTGACACAGCGATCGCAAAGAATACAGTCATTGCCCCTAACATGAATTGAAGTTTACTGACACACATCCTTAACATAACATGCCATACTTAATCACACAACTCATGTCCCCATTTCTTACTACAAAATTAAGAATTTAATAATTATTCTTGTAGATGTGAAGTAATAAGATATTTGGCACGAATTATTCATTTTGTCATCTGTTAAATGTGGCACGATACATAAATGTCACATATGAGAGGCACCGTGTCACTGACGTAACACGATTGACATGAAGATTAGATATGAGACTATAAGAACTCAATTCGTCAACTGACGATCAGCTTCGCTCAAAACTTACTGTTTACGCAGCAATTAATTAAAATGTCTCATGCAATGTCATAAAATTACATAGACACATAAAGCATTTGTTACCAATTCTGTTGTAAGAGATTTAATATTATTTATTATTATTATTTAGTGTTCTGTCTGAGGACAGGTCCATATGAACAGGATCCTTCCATCCTTTTCTCGGACTGGGACCTGTTCATATACGTTCTTGGCAGATGATCCAGAAGTGGTTTGCCATTGCCTTCTTCTGTGTGTGAATGGAGTAATTGTTGGGATGCCACGGAGAAACTGGGGAAGCCCCCGGAGGAAAACTCCACGGCCTTGCCCAACACAAGTTATAAATTTGGACACCTCCGGGAATCGAACCCGAGACCCCAGGATTACAAGGCCAGCGTTCTAACCGCTAGACCACCGTGGCATATAGATTTAATAACACATGTGAAACGTACACCAAATGACACTCCCACGGGTCTCCTGAGCCATTTTGGAGGTTTACGGAGATCGACTGGACTCTGCTGTTGCTGTTGTGGAACAGGAGCTTGTACATACGCGTCCATACCAGGAAATGAATCAGCAATCTAAAACACAAGAATTCAGATTTACATATTCAAATTTTCAGCATCTCACAGAAATTCAAAAACTGCTATTCTCCGTGTTGAGTGTAACGTACCTGAACTATCGCAATTCATGAAAGATTCATCTAAGCTTCAATAATTCATTTTTTCCAGTCAGACTTCCATAAGAACTGACAGTGTCAGGAGAAGGGGAGGAAGAACTCTTAGCTCATTTATTTCTCGACACATTTGAAATGCAGAAGGCTCTACAGAATGCTACCGTGTTATGCATCATCCAGCACATTCCACCATAATCAGAATCTATTACGTTGAAAATAAAAATAGATATGTGTAATTTTATTGTGATTTTGCATTCCTCGTTGGCTTTAATGTTTAAAATTAAATTCACGTAAAAACTTTCAGTGTCAAATGATCATATTAGACTCTATCAAACTTTGATCAGTAAACCACGTGACGTAGCTTAGTTGTTAGCAATCCTGTGATCCTATTCACACGGTCCCAAAATTCAAATCTCACTCTGAAGATTCGCTATCCTGACAAAGGTTATCCCAAGTCCCTACAACAACAAACAGAACAATTATCCAATCAATATTTTCACAGCTGATAACTCAGCAGATCATAACCTACCTTGTTGCTTGTTTGAACCTGCTGTTGCCCGCCAGTCAGGGAGTATACGCTTACATGTCCATCAAAGCTGCAGCTGGCAATCAGCGCTGGGTTTCGTGGGCACCACGACACATCAAAGTTCCACTGGTTCGCTGTTGCAAGGTCACACACTACTTCTCCGCCTGGCACGCTGCTATTTGGGTTCCAGCATAAGATACGATTGTCCTTCCCACAACTCACAAGCAGATCCGGATCTTGGCGGCACCATGCAATTGACAGTACACCCCTGCGTCATCAACAGTATTTAAACACTTCAAAAATTAGCTTCTTAGGTGTTTCTTATGCTTTAGCACAAGCTAAGAACAACTTATAGGTCAATCCATGCCTGTCTGTCTGTCTGCCCCTTTGTCTGCTGCAGCTTTCAATCCGTTGTTGCGACGACTGTCACAAAAATTTGCATAAATGATATTTGTTCATAATGTTCCAACAATGACCTTAGATCATATTATCACAGCAGTGACCTTGCAATCCGCCACGGTGGTCTAGCGGTTAGAACGCTGGCCTTGTAATCCTGGGGTCTCGGGTTCGATTCCCGGAGGTGTCCAAATTTATAACTTGTGTTGGGCAAGGCCGTGGAGTTTTCCTCCGGGGGCTTCCCCAGTTTCTCCGGGGCATCCCCGGTCGAACCCACGTACTGATGGGTCGTGAATCCTGCTAACCACCAATGCACACCTGGTTCCCCCTGGTTTCCCTGACGATGTCTTCACGATGTTGTATAAAAACACAGTCGGAATTTTAGTGTACTCCAAAAGAGTACACCTGTAAATACTTGTCACATAAAGTATCATACAGGAAAACAGATTGGAACGTAAACAAATGACCAAATTTTTAAATACATTATTAGTAACGTTAAGGTCCTTTGCAAATAAAAATAATAGATTCATTGTTTACAATTTTAATAAATAATCATTTATTTTTTGTTCAATTTCTTGTGGTAATCACACATGCATATTTACTAATGTTATCACGGCTGATGACTCCTGGCTCACTGTCACTGAGAAAATTCCTCATTTACTCCAACGAAAACACAATTTTAGTTTCAATATTTGTAATCTTAAATCAATTAAGATGGCAAATATTTAAATAACTAACAAAACCGTGGTATTTACAAAAAGCTCATGTGGTAATACAAAGCGGGTGTATTCGCTCTTAAACCCCACCCCGCAAAAATGGTGGAGGAGCAAGACAGATTTTTATTTATACACGTGAGAAATTAAATGCAATAATTTGATGAACTTAATTACCTCTGATGATTTTCTAGCACTTTGAGTGGAGATGTTGCAAATCGTAAATCCCACAGTTGGATAACGGGACTCTGATCTTCCTCTGACGCGAGACAAAGTTGTGTCGCTACCTCTGGATGCCATGCGACGACCTTCCAACGAATCTATAAATAAAATCAACGTGCCAATGCACTTTTTATTTCTGTAATTTAGTCACTTCATCGCCAACATCTTCTTCATCATCGGTGGTCAAGGACCGGATTTAAATCTGACCTGAAACCAAGATGTCTTCCCCATCTCTTGCTTGATCTGGCAATTGATTTCTTCCTCTACGACGGTATGCCCATCCATTTCTTGGTAAACAACATTTCTCCTTGTTACTTACCATTGAAAACAAACCAATTTCATTTTTTAAATTAAAATATCTGCGAACAATGACAGACAGCAAAGACAAAGTTCAAGATAAAATCAAGAGAAGAATAAATCCTGGAAAGCTAAATTTTGATTTTAGAAACCACTACTCTACTTTCTGGGGCAGTTAAGTTCAAGATGCAAAAAACAATAATTTCACAGTTCATTTTGTGGCTGCAAACTACAGTCTGTCCCGAGCCGTAGCCGCGCGGTCTGAGGCATCAAGCTTCGGATTGGCAATACAGAATGCGCGCTGGTTCGAGTCTCGGAAAAAGAAATTTCTCATGAGATTTTCGACCGGTGTATGGAACCGGTGCCAACCCAGCATCGTGAGGAAACTGGGGAGCTAACGATATGTAGCGTAATCCGGTCAGGAAAACTAGCAATGGCTGGGGGTTCGTCGTGCTGACCACACGTCACCCTATATCTGGTTGGATGATCGTTCACCTCTGCTTAGGCATGTGAACGTGAGGCCGGCAGCCAGCTAGGGCTCTCAGAATTTTACTTTCATTAGCACTGAATCTACATATAGGCAATATGATATTTTCTTTGGACATTATCCACTGTCAATTATCAGTGGTCATACTTATGGACATTATGAGAAATGTTTGACGTACTTACTCGTGATGTACTGTCAGTAAGTTTGATAATAGGTTCATTTTTCCGTAAGTCCCAAACCACACAGCGAGGGGCAAATGTTGAAGCTAGAATATGCTGCACTGAAATACAGGAAAAAATCCATTAAGTTCGGATAATAACGACAGATAGAATGTCGCTATGTATATCTCTTTATACATAGGAAACCTCACACTAAAACCCATCCAGAGACCGTCTATTCTGTCGAAGGTTTTTCTGGATTGTCTTGTCTCTTTAATAATTACTGTGACAGTCCTTCAAAACAAGCCGTGATTAATTTGTTTACTCTGGCAGACAAACATTTAGATTAACCAAAATGATACATAAAAAAGATACACCATGAATTAACTTTCATTTGCCATGTGAGATATTAATTCCAGGAATGAAAATTTATGGTAAATACTTTTCTTCTGTTTTGTAATGTTAATAAATAAACAATAACTGAATGAAATATTCTGATTAGAATAAACTCTGGGAAGAAATCTCTTGGGGCACAACGGCATAGATAAGATGATGATGATAATGTATCAGCTGCTCAAGGATGATTCTGAACCATGAGTTGGCAAAAAAAAGTAAAAGAATGAAGTGAACAAAGTTTACCAACACATCTACAGATATCACTGAAAAATAAATTGAACCGTGACCATTCCATGGTCATCGAACTGCGTGAACTTATTTTCACCGACACACAATGACAACAAAAGCAAAAAAACAAAAACATTATTGTACGGTGAACCAGCGGCTTTCTGCACGACAATGAATGTCCCTAAAAGGAAGCCTTAAATCAAAAATTTGAAAATGCTGATAAGATTTGTTATAAAAATATAAATACGATAAGAAGAATTAAGAATTTTTTGCTTACAGATTTACAGAAATATGGCAAAACTAAATATTAATTTTATTGTCATAAAATTTATGTATTTATAATCCCTTTGATTCCCAGAATTCTCACTGAAGATGGAGACAACTTCTCTGAAACACTGGCATCCATCAACCGTTCCACATGACGTCAGGACCCCCAAAGAACATCATCATGAAAAGTACTGATCTATAAACTTCGAACACACTGACCGATCATAACATTACATACCTTGTCGGTTCCAAGAAATAGAGAGTACATCATCAGTTGGTTGAGACTTTGCCCCCGGAAGCATTGGCGTGTCTGTACTGTTCAAGTCCCATATAAGAATTTCAGACTCTGAAGCTCCACTTGCTAGCAGATTTGCCTGCCATAAACATAAAATATACAATGTATTTAGACCCACTGTAATGTGAGCTCTGTTACGAGAACAAAAGAAAATTTTGATATTACATACTATTTAGCGTTCAATGGCGTACATCACAATCAATTGCTGGCTGCCATAAACCATAATTTACAGAGAACGGTAAAGGCAGCATGTAAAGAGATAATTCCACTAAAATAATGACTTGTGATGACAATGTTCATAGGGATTCTATACAGTTCTGATAAAAATATTGTGGTAATGGAACATATGTTTAATGAAAGACGGCTAAAAGCGATATTACACTTTAACGTGTTACGGGAACAAAAGGGTATTTCAATATCCAACATTCTACTGGTAGGCACAGCACAGACTAGAGCAGTAACAATAAAAAGACATATCATCATTATTTAGAATCATTATAGTGCTTAAACAGTTTTAAAATCCCGAAATATTTTGCGTTTACCTGATAAGGATTGAAATCCAGTGCTCGGACAGGGCCAGTATGCTTGTCCCGACGTGCCACGAGGCCCTCTTCTCCAGCCAGCACCTTGGCTGCATTATATACCTGAATACACCCACCATCACACCCACCAACAATAATGCCATTCCCATATTCTTTCCCAAACCCATAGCATCCCCACGCAATCTTGTGGAACCTGCAGAGAAAACATTTCTCTTCTCATAACAATGCCTGTCAATACATGAGTATTATAGTTATTGTTGCGATGAGGTGATACTGTTTCCCTATGGTACCACAGCTGATATTGGGTCCAATGTCCATCCCCAAACACATAAGTGAATATGGAGCAGCAGTTGGGTGATACTGATAGGATAAAACCAAAGAACTTGGAGTAAAACTTGTACCAGTATGATAACAGTACTCAGATCACCACAGGTGACATACTTAATGTACTATGGTGATTATATTATGAACCTGTAACCTGTTTACCTCTAAATTAAAACATCCAGATTAATTTACATTTCAGATATTAATTTAGTGTACATAGCTACAGCATCATGACATTAAACCTCAAGGCAATAAAAAGAATAACAATTCACCACATTAAGTCACCTATAATCACTGGGTAATGAAGTCCGTAGTTCCATATCCAAACCTGGTTCTGTCAAGTTCAGGGAATATATTTCAAGTGCTGCCGTCGTACTAAAAGATGCATCCAACTGTTGCGCTGCTGTTCCTGCTGCTAGCAAAACTGGGTGTTGGGCAGCAGGAGACCAGGACACATTCGCAGTCCTCTCTATTTCTTTCACCTTCATTTTTCTGTTTATTCAATCTAAAAAAAATAAGACATTTCATTTATTCCCAGCTGTGAAAAATATTGTCACCTAGCAAACTGCAATGCTCTCGTTCTTCTATTAACACGAAAATCAATTATTACACATAAAATAACAATCTAATACTTGTGTTCTAGACATACATTCAAAGCAGAATTGATTTATGATATGACACTGGTTTTAATACTCGGGCTGTGCCCGGTGACGTCCACAGGCCATTTCAAAACTAAACATATAACAATAAATTGCTCTATTGAAGTACCGTTATATGACTCGCGTCCGAAAACAATTATCAAATTACATAACATTCTACTTACTTAACCCACTTCTAACACAAAACAATATCACTAATACACTACTTCCAACTCCACAAATACATCGACAACACAGTACTTCCAACGTGGCGATCTGGGTTTCAGTATGCTAGCGAATCCTGTAGTGAAGATTTCTAGTTATTAAAATAACAAACGAAATCTACAATCAGCTGATGGATGTTAGCAGGTATAAGCGTAATTTGACATTTGTGCAGGGTTAGAAGCCAGCACTGATTACCTACGAAGAAAGTGGGCTTAATGGAATGGGCTTAATGGAAGTGTGTACAAAATAAAAAAATATCCTGCCTAAAATTTTAGTAACAGCGTGATAAATCTGCTACGAATGATATAAAGGATATGATGGTTGAAGAAACGTTAAATTCTGTGAACAAATCTAAGGTGAGATAAATGCGTTACTGAATGAGTTTTATTACTTGTATTGTGAAAAAGTGCCTCAGAGTTTTAATATTGTTTTTAGAATAAAACAGCTCGCCCAAGACCTGTATACCTTTGGACTGTTGTTGATGTTCAAAAATGGCTAAGACGGCATTGCAGTGACTATTATCCTCTGTACTGGGAAAAGTTTCAGCAGGTAATAAATTTTAAAGTGACATAGTTTTTTAATACAATGCCTTTCTTAACAGTTTAAAAATTTCCTACTTTTATCTTGCAGCACGACATTACAGGCCGGTCTCTTCTACGTATCACTGAAACAACTCTCCTGAGACTTGGCATTGAAAATGCTGAACACAGACAAGAAATCTGGAGGGAGATAATGAAATTACGACTGAAGACGGACATAATTGAAATCAGGGATCTTGAAAGAAGGAATAACTTGAACTATGATTAAATCAAATACTTCATTTTATTGAATAATAATGAGACCCAAAGAAGAAGAATGTATTGTTTTAATGTCATTTCTATCTCTGTTTTGGCTGTATCACCAGAACAGCCAAGCAACAAGAAGGAGATTGTTACATCTTAAAAAAAGACGCTGTTACTTGCGCAACTTGATATCCAAACTTTTAATTTCACAATCTCGACTTGGTAGTAATGTCGATATACCTGATTATTCCCAGTGCCAAGATTCTGACTAGAACTATACAAAGCAAATACATTTAGTATGTGGTTTTGTTAAATATAACTGCAGTATATAATAAACTTTAATTAAAATTATACTTAAAAAAGGAACTTTTCATTTATCTCACTAATAACATGTAAAAATGTGTAACTATCTAATGAAAATGGTAATCTTTCTCATTCAATCTTCTTATATATTTACAACACCAAAGAAACTGTAATACTCTTTTTATAATAAAGTTCTCTCCTTGCAAAATATATTATTATTAATGAAAAGAAAGTAACTTAAGAACTTTTATTGAAGCACTTAAAAAGTTTATAGTAGGAACAATATCATACAACTCTTTTGAAATGCAGTACCTTTCAACACCATCTGCTGATGCACCAAAAAGACGTGTGTAAAATTGTCCAGCTCTCTCTTGTGTCCATGTAAACTTCAATAAAAGTTTGTTTTTAAAACCAGAAAAAATAAATATACATGGCTTAAGACACATCTATTCCTATTTTATACTAACACGACAAATGTACATAATATATTTAATTTAATATTAAAAAGATAAAACTATGACGATTGTTCAGAAATGATTTAGACTTGCCGAGAGATGACAGTCGCACAATCATGCTCCACATACTGCTCACTGAGGTCAATGTAAACTTCCATAATTTTTTTGGCGACTTCCTAATGGATGCAGCAAAACGGTCTTTTCTGGATGGCATGCACTGACTCAGACACATCGTTAGGGAACCGGCTGCCACCAATGGATCCTTCACCTTGTCAAACGGGATGCCACCACTCCAGAAGACCATAGCCATGTGCTTGCCAGCAGAGGATGCTGTCAGCCCAAGACATTTCTGAGGGATTTTCACAATACTTAATTTATGTTATTGGTACTGTATCTCCTATTACCATGTCAAATACTGAACGTAGCTTTTAAAAGCTTTAGATAATTCAAATGTATCAATGAATAAGAATAGAAACACATAGTTGGAATAGTAGACATTTCAATTCATAATATATTAGATTTCAAATAATAATATATGCTATTTGCTACAATTAATGGTAGAATGGTGCAAAAGAATCTGTACTTAATATTTCATTGTGATGATGCATGCGGCCCTGTGCAGCTGCCCCACTAAAAATGGCTCTGGTGACAAGGCAGTTTAAACCTCCAGTATCCTTCATTACGACACTGCATATACAGACTGTGGAGTGAAAGCTCCGTGCATTGCAGACTTTGGAAGTATGACCGTGGGTTAACTTCATGATCCACCAATTTTTACCTGAAGATACAGCCCCCTGATATCCACTGCAGAGGAGCTATGCTCACTCAGTCAGATTACGCTGTATGCTGTACTACTGATGTTTCATAGCCATATCTTTCTAGATGGTACTATGGTTCAGGAGACCACCGAGCCTCCTACCTCGTGGGCACCAGGGTACATCCCCCACCCACGAGGGTAAATCGGATGGGGCATGACACTCACCTCCATTCAGTGCTGTAAGTGAAGCTACATTTCCACCCCTATAATTCTTCGTCTTATGATACGAGCGTCAGGAACAATTTTATAACTTTATTTTTCACATTAACTGATAATAACAAACTGACTTGTCATGCCGTTAAAGATGAAGTTAAAAGTCTCACATGTGGCGTGCTCCTGTTATCCAGCTACTTGGAGGCTAGGTGTTGAGGATGGCTTCAAAATTTAGCAGTCTTTCGTCTGGCGACAGACAGCGTCCCTGGTACTTATGACACCAGAGGCAGAATAAATTAAGTTTTGGGCTCTGTGTCTGTCATTGATTACTTTATGTCTCTGCTGTGTTGTGTTGGTCTTGGCAGGTGATTAACAGCGTTTCAGAGGAACAATTCACCTTAAGACAGAGGTGCCACACTCCTCTAAAACACTGGAAACCACCTACAAGCTCAAAACAGCGTCGTCACAAGCCAGAAGACCGAGTTCAACATCTTCACTGTCTTCAGAATCTCAAATTTAATCAACCCATGTTGTTGTTACTTTGGTAAATTTAAACTGCTTAAATTATTTCATATTTCTTTATATTTGTTACATACTCCACTTATTCAAAACTGGACATAGTTTATGCAAGCGCACAAATGTGTATACAAAATCATTTGGCGTCCTATGAACTAATGAACTACTTTTACTGTACCACCACATGTAAAAGGTGGAGACACACCAGGATGAAGTTACCGGTGTACACTCGTGTGGTACTGACTAGATTCCTTTCCAACAAAACGCGTATGGAAGCCTTCGTATTACTGCAAGTCTTAAAAGCCACAATTTTATCACTAAGTATAAATACTCTAGAATAACTTTACAATATGGTGATCATACATTTAACCTTCTGTGTCATCCAACCACGTTCTCTGCTACGGAACTTGTTGCAGAATTAATCTGATAAAACCTAACTTAAACTGAACTAACCTAACCTAACCTAACCTAACTTAAACTGAACTAACCTAACCTAATATAACCTTATTTAAATATGAATAAAATATGTTTTAACTTCACTGGTACACAGCTGTCAGTGTAAAGTGCAGCTATGACAGAAGATTATGCAAGCAAAATAGGAAAATCAAGACATAAATAAATGGTCACTGTATTGCAAAGTTGTGTCAAATACTCTTATAATAATAAATATCCAGTACACGGTTACAATTACGTTTTCCTAAACACCGTATATTACGTCAGTTTTTAAAAAGGAAATCATTTGTACCTCTAACTTCCATCAGATGCTTTGTACTATAAATGTTGTAAAAAAGAAAGGAACTCCCTTTCATTTTCCATACAACTAATACAATTCACTAAAAATTATGGAGAATTAGGATCCAAAATCAGTGAATGACTGGAGTATACCACAGCCCAAATCGGGTGACAGTTCTTCTCTCGAGAAATGGGCTTCATCCTTTCGAACTTCTTCATCACAGGAATTCTGATCAGAATCCCCATCACTATTATTTTCTGGAGATTCTGCCGCATCTTGTCCTTGTTGTTGTTGTTGTTGATGATGCTGCTGCTGCTGTTGCTGAAACAAAAACTGATTCTGCAGTATACTTCCCACTATCGGAATTAGCGCCATGAGCTGACACCCGACTTTCCTATCAAATTCAAGGCGCTGCTTTTCAATCTCCAAATGTTCCCTCTCAACATCTAGTAACTGTTGAAGAAGGCCAGTTACTTCAGGCTGCTCGTGTTGCTTCCTTGTGTCTGGACTGTTCGGAAGGGAATCATCCCTGTGGCTTGATCTCCCGACGCTGGGTCCCTGAAGCCGCTGCCGTTTGGGCTCTCCACTGCCAGGACTTGGTTCGTCATCTTCTCCATACTTTGTCTTGTGTGAAGTGGCTGAACTACTCACTCTGTTGGTAGATGATGGTCCAGCAATGATTGGTGTTGATGATGTGATAGTCAAACCCTGCATTGGTGATGAGGAGATGTAATTTCCAACAGTGTCTCCATCATCATCACATCCTGAACTGAAACAGCAAAATGTAAGTATTAGAATGTAGTATGTATTTATTAAATACAGGCAGGACAGAATGAATACATATTAGTAATATACCTAACATACAGTTCATTAGTTAACACCATCAATACTGGGTAGCTAGTAATAACATGTTTGCCATACCAAGTTTCTTTAACACCTAATGACTTAAAATTTATTAGGATGGAGACAAAACACACTTGGGTAAATCTACTTTCCTCATAAAATCAAACACTTGTGCTAAAAATATACCATGTCATTTGTGCAATATGCGATAATTGTATTTTTAATAAACATAAAATATTTCTTGCTGTAAGTGAGCGCCAAATTCAGAGTTATATTAGAGGCATATAAAAGTTTGTAAAACCTGTGTGTTATTCAATACTGTTATTCAATACTTTTACATTCTGATAAAATGGGGTAAGATTCAGAAGACCATAACCTATAAACTTCAGCCTGTTTAAATTATGGTACAGTGCAGATTACAGTATGGGTTTTAATAACCTACACTCAACTAAAACTAATGAAACCAAGATTAACCAGACAGAACCAACACAGTAAAGTAACAACAGAATATGGCTTTGTGGAGAATCACTATTTTCATCTGCGCTTCAGACCAAATGCTTCTACATGTCTCAAAATCAATAAATATTGTAAGCATACAGTAGTACCTGTGACTATCATTACTAAACTTCGAATTTATAATATCTTCCATGTCAACAAGTTCCTTCTTTATTTCTCTTCTTGGGAAACCATCCACTCCAATACTGTATCTATGGGCTATCATTCCATCACCAAGAATAGCATCCATTGCTTTGAAATGATGCCAGTCAGGGTCAGTAATTAAACCAGTGCTCAGAGTCTTCTTTATCCTGTGATAGATACACTTAAGATTTCTTATTCTTGTAGTGATCTCCTCGGGAGTGCGGTAGAAACCATACTGTTGCATCATTGATGCAAGTTGGATCATTATTGGTGCTTTTCTGTGGCAAGTACTCATTTGAGTCTGAATAGACGGGCTGCCCCACAACTGAATCAAAAGCTTCGTTTCATCTTCGCGAAAGTTTGTCGTTCTTTTCTTTTGCATCGTCATTTTTGATGAACACTTATTGGAGTGGACGTACTCTGACACAACACTCTACTAGTAAACACTAGATAAATAGTGTTCAATAAAACAAAACGTCATGCGATCAACCATTAAGTTTACGAATAACAAATGCACCTTTTCCATAGATGCAAAATGGAACAATTAAAGAAATAACTGAAAGTGAAATAGTTCCCCCTTCACCCCGGCTGGCAAACGTCAATTACAGTCGCCATTACAAAACATACGCACCTTGTTAGAAGTGCTGCCAAACAAATGAACAAGCAAAATATCCCTTCGTAGTGAAGCATAAGAAAATTGAATATAATTAGGATCGTATATTTTTGGTTGTTTCGAAACAGATAATTTGTTGTGCCATTGGAAATTGTTTTGAAATTTCCTACTGTGAAGTATAGAAAATTTACGTCATTCTTAATAACTATTTTTCGTCTGAAAATATCTTGTAGTTGTTGCCAATAAAACTGAAAGGCGGGGCATGTATTTACACTTCGTTTCAAACAGTTAGGTTATGTCAGACTGGCGTTTGGTGAATCCGGTTGCGCATCCAACTGTCCATCTGTATCTTCACCTCAATGCCCATATTTTTGCAGCTGTAGGTAGGTCACACATCGGAATAAGGAAAAATACTTAAGCAGCTTTATAAAAAAGGTGACAAATCATATTTAGCAAATTAACAAAAAAGTATTGGTAGCAGGAATTTTTGCAACATAGCCAAAGCTTTTGTGTTAACCTTTATTTTATTAGATAAAATGTTATGGAATAAATAACAAAGCATTTTCATGGCTGGAGTCATAATTCTGTATATTCATTCTGGGGAAAAATACAACATGGTGTTCCATTTTACGTCCACTTCTCATTGTACTGTATATTAGTGACTTTGCCTCCTAATGAACTCAGATTCTGTACCTATACTTTATGCATATGATACAGGAATTATATTAAACAAAATTAATTAATAAATTAGAGTTATGAGCAAATAAGACTTCTATGACTTTGAAGAAATTGTTTATGACAAACTTCCTCTAAATTTTGACAAAACAAACCTAGTAAATTTTAAAATCAATACCATAACGCAGCCTTAATATTCAGTATGAAAATTAAATATTCTTGAGGACAGAACAACTGAATAATTAAATTCCTTGGTCTTCAAGTAGATTATCATTTAAAATGGAAAAGATATACAGAAATGATTTTACCAAAACTAAATTCTACATGTTTCACAATAAGATCACTAATATTTCTAACAAATATTGATCTCCTCAGAACAGTATAGTTTACATATTTTCATCCCATATTATTGTACAATATTTTGAGACAATTCATTATACAGTGGCAAGGTATTAATTATATAAGAGAGCGTAATAAGACTAATATTAGGATTACATAAAAATGAGTCTCTCTCTTGTGTGTGAATATATTCTAGCTATTTGTACATACAAAACTGATAACTTTAGTTCTTTTAATTCCAGTTTTAATATACATAAATTCAGTACTATAAGCGAATGAAATGATTACCCAGAGGACCTAAAGATGCTTGGAAATTTGAAGATTATCAGTTTCTGGACAGGGTATGAGGGTGTATAATACTGTGGAGATAAAATACATGCATGCACTCTGATCATTAGCACTAGATGTAAGTTCCTGGTCAACTTAAAAATCCAGACACTTTATACTCGGGGACGAATGCCCACGAAATATTAAACAGAATATTTGTTGCAAAGACCCAGTGCAGATATCAGGTTAAACACATGAACCATTAATCTTTCATTTATAGAATGTTTGATCAATGATAGTATTATGAGTAAAAGTTTGATACACATTCCAGTGGTTAATTTATGGTGACATGAATGTTGGAAAATTGTGCAATGTATTTTTTAAAAAAAAATATTTAAAAATGAAATCCTGTTATTCCCTCACAAGTGTTCAGGTACGTAAACAGGCAAGCTGGAGATCGAACATGACCTCACTTTGAAGTTCATCCCATCTCTGGTACAGTCTGTTCACATCAGCTGTTTGTAATTATCCTCTGCCACTCTCGCACACGCATCAGAGCATCCTTGGCAGCACGTCCCATCATGCCTTCATTTGATGTCTCAGGTTCAAAGTTGAGAATGATACTGGACTCTTCCAGACAGGCAGCCACCTCTTTAAGCCTTGACCGAAGATCGCGATAGGCGAGAGCGTGCGCCTCGACGCCCCGTGTCGTAAGTATCATCAGTGGAGCATGCAGCTCATACAGCAGAACACCTGGAGAAATTCACACTTTGGGTTTATTAACCCTCGGTATGACATATCTCATTTAAAATGGTACGTCATCTGATTGCAGTTTATTTGAAATAAATGTCTCCCTTATATGTAAACAGACAAAGCTTCCCAGCCTACAGTAACGTGAGTAATAGACAGAACTCACCTCTGAGTCTGGAGTATCCAGGTTCTAAGACATCCACAACTTTGAGGAGCTGCCTGCAGAGGTCACGCTTGTGCCGGAGCTGCGCCTCGGTCATGTCGTTGATGAGAAACCCCGGTGCCTTACCGTACAACTGACACAGCGAATGCTGCACTCCAAGGCAGTGATAGTGGTTTGGGTGCAGGACATTCTGGTAGCGTGTTAGAAACGCTTCCAAAGTCGGAATACTGCTCTCATCCAATGCTTCGACCTCGTCACCAATCCTGTGAATATCGCCAAACTAATTCAAGGCTTTATATGCTCTAAACCATTAGATGATATTCTGCTGCAGTATGAATATATGATGCCAAACAGAGCTGCGTTGCTCCAGAGAATTTATCTCTGGTGGCAGTACCACCTTCATTCTTTTTCATTCTATCAACACACAATTATGTCATCATCAGACTGTTTTTAACTGCAGCGGTGATGAGAATAACTGACGGGTAAGATGCTCTACAGTACCATGTATTAATAATCAGGGAATTGAACCAGAAGATGATCACACTGGACCAAATATGTTTTTACAGTGAATGGATTGAACTGGATGTGTTAAAAGTGACAGAAAAGAAAAACCATTCTGCTGTTACTTCCTCAATCTTGGGTCCAAATTCTCTGTCCTTAAGACACCCACAATTTATGATCTTCCCTTACAGTAAAACTGTGATAAACAGCAGCCCACGAGACAACTCCGACTATTCTTGATACTGAAATGGGACACTTTCACATGCCAAATGTTTGCAAAACCCAGATAAAACGGAGAATTAATCTCACTTGTCCATAAGAAGTCGGACGGAGCGAGCGGGAACAGTGTAACCGGTGCATGAGTCATTGGTGCAGCACCAGTCGGCGTCGCGGTTGAGAGGCGCTGTGGAGACGACAATACCCATGGCACACTGCGGGCATTTGAGTGCCCCGGCATACGTGCCCAGCTCCGTCGCATCAGAACACCGAGCGCATGTGCAGTCAAAGAACTTGCTCTCCTTCAGGTGATCCCTTCTCTTCAGTGTACCCTAGACACACAATGAACTATGCAGCACAGAAAGGAATTTTTCTCATGTGGCCTGCGGCCACTTAGAAATAGATTTCCGACATTATAGTCTACCTGGAGAGTGTAAGCATAGCTGAGGTAGATGGAACTTCCCTTGTTGATTTTTGTGGTGGCCCTAACCCGCAACTGGAAATTTTTGTCATCCGTGTGCCCTGTATTTGGGACGCAGTCATGTGCCATGTAGAATGCGCAGGGGTACAGTGCTCTGATACTTACCCCCTCTTGACCAACTTCAAAAGCGTTCACCTGAAAGCACAATCTTCATCATTACACATAAAACATGGCTCGAGATCAACCAACAGACCGACATAAAATTATATGTACCAGTGGTTTAATAAATTAATTAACAGATTGTACCTCCAGAATGCCGCATATTGTATGGATGAGGTCTTCCTCATACTGCGTCATGCCCCACTCCTTCCTGATCCTGTCCACCACATTCTCCTGGTTGTTGCGCCAGATGACTGGTAATTTCTGGCGTATATCATTATGTGCCTCCATTGTGAGCAGAGAGTGCCATTTGTCAGGGTCGTGCTGTTGCAGGAGGAGACACCTGAGGGGCACTACGACCAGGTACAGGGGCGTCAGGGCGTTGCTGTCGGCAGCCAGCAGCTTGGGGCGCACTCTCTCGTACAGCTGGCACTCTGCCCCACTGTGTCCATATTCCCTACCCCGTCCAGAGCAGCCCTGGCTACACATTGGCCAACCACAGCCCTCGCACCTGGACAGCACAGTGGCCTGGTGTTACATCGTAACACTTGATGGAACAATGTAATCGAAATGGCGATCGACCTGACCTAACCTAACCTGTATGCATTGTCGTCCAGATCAAGCTTCTTATAGCAGCCAAGGCACAGAGGTTGGCAGCCCTGTGGGGGTCCCACCACCAGGGGATGTACAGACATGATGAGTTGTCCAGGTCGCAAGTCACATGATGCCACTAAATATCTGTGACATAATAATAAGAATAAGTGTGTGCACAGTCAATCAGATGTGCTAATCAGCTTCTCACTGATTTTTCGAGGCCGTTTAAATATTAAAAAAAGAGACTAATTAGGAAATGTAATTAGTAATCATGGCACTTTCGTCAGAATTTGACCTTTGCCCTCAAAAAATGTGTAAGTGACGTCAGAGTTGTCTGTATGGCAGGTAATTAACAAAGTAAGGTAACTAATTGAACTTGGGGATTCCCTATCTAGTTATTTCCGTGGATAGAAACGTATGCAGATAGCCTATTTGTGTACAGCGCCACGAATTTAACCAAGACTGGAGTGTGCCGATAAATTTTGGTGAAAATACGTTCAGCGGATAGACGGGTGTAAGAGAGACCGACAGGAAGGAAGAAAAGGAGAGACAAGATGTATGTATGGTTTAGTCGAATTTTATCCATCAGTCGAATACGCATTCCGCAGAAAGCTAGCGTACGCCTGGTTCTCTTCTTTCGTCTACACGCCTCACTTCCGTGTCGGAGAAGTTGCCGTCCGAGAACGGCGAACACTATCTTGTATATTTTTCTGGGCGAAAGGATGAAGTTAAATCTTTGTTAATGTTGAGTGTTTCTGGACCAAACTTGATTCTCTTTAAATTGAAAACATCAAGAATAGTCTCTAGAAGGTTAATTGATAATAATTATGATGTGATGATGATAATAATAATAATAATAATATCCGAAATTGGATATTTTTAACTTATCGGGATTTGCGATTTTGATATACTGGGTTGCTTTAACCCTTAACATGTAGGCGATTCGTCGCTACGAAACGTTTGTTAACCACCTACAAGACCTCGTGGTCTCAGAATCCAGATCATAATCACTTAATATACTTGCTGGAAGAGGGACACGGTTTTTTCACGTAAACCGAACACAACCCCAAGGCGTTTCTTCAGAGGAATAGTTATCCTGCTGTGGGATGCTGTCAGCCATGACAAGAGGAGAAGCTTCCAAGATTTCGGTCTGCCACTTTGATACAGGACTCACGGGAAACAGCTGTTGCTGTCAACCGAAATCCGCTTCCAACTCTTCATAAAAACACATTCAATTCATTTAATAGTGTGCTTGCCAACAGCTGTGGCTTAATTATAGGGGAGACCGGGGCACGTTGACACAAATTTTAGATATGATTTTTTTTTCTCTCATTTTTATTTTGTGATTGTACTAAATTTCGCTACACGCCACTTTAAGTAGCTGAGTGGTCAGTGTCACGCCCCTGCCGCGTTTTACCCCGGAAAAAGACTCCCGTTACTTATTAGATAGGAGGACGGGTGGGCCCTGGAGCCGCTCTGAACGCAGAGGATATAAAAAAAGGGCGATCGCTGCTAATTTTAATTACTTACAAAAAGTATTTTCTGAAATTCTTAGACCATTTAATTATTAATTGATATTTTATTCTGCAAAATGCATTATGCATGTTGAGAATGGATTTATATATAAACAAATTCAAAAATTGCGTTGTTTACTCAGAACTTCGATGGCACCACTAAAATAAATTACCGCTTTTAGTTAACGCGTGCCGCTGAAGGCGGAGGAATGGCGAATCTGGGCAGTTTCGAAATCAGATTCCCAAGTATGGATTTGGGCCAACTGCATGACAGTCTGTTTTTTTGGCAATGGTACCTGAGACCCCGGGCGTATGGGTTCGAACCCCGCTGTGTCCAGAATTGCTATAAAACTGGCAGATGTCCACGTTGGCAATTTTCCATCACTTCCAACAATACGAAAGATGTTTGCAGACGGTTCTATTAACAAAACATAACGAAAATAAAGAACATCAGAGCAATTTTTTACTTGCACGATACAGCCAAAGTTTTATTAACAGCACATTCTGTATATTCAATATAACCCAAACTGTGGCTCGTGAAGTCGAAGTCATAAGAGGAACACAGACCTATATATTATTAATGCGTAGAGATTTTAATCTGATTATGATAATAAGTTGTTTCTAATCCTTGGTTGGCGCACACTTTGGAGCCCACTGAAAAGAACGTGTAATACGGACTACCGCTCGAGTTCATTATAGAGTAAATTGTTTGGTTATAACTTCCAGTAGTTTATTATTCCTGTTATCTTATGCTAAATTAGTCATTTAGAACTCTCTAGTTGTCAACATCTGTACTATTTTCTGCCTTTCCTAACAACAAACATGATCACATCTCTAAGAAATGTTTCTTCAACCTTGTGCCAGGGTTAAGAATGCATGGACGTAACCACTGTGCCCCTATTCATGTGCTGTGGCTTGGCCGCTTACTTTAAAAAATTCAGTATCCCTACTGCTGATTCCATCTGCCAAAAAATACGTTTTTGTAACTAATAAATGGACATCAAATCAAACGAAGGATAAAAAGTCGCAAAGAAAAGGCCCATTTCAAAAAATAATTATCTTCGAAGCTCTTTTTTTTTCTGGGCTGGTTACAAACTTGGCCGTGTGATCCATGTTCTTTATAGGTTGCATATCCTTGGAACAGATTCTTCAGTGATTCATACACACTCTCTGGCCGTACTTATTTCACACTTCGCTGTCACTGAAGACATCAGTTGATTTCACGTGTCTTGACATTGTTTGCGTGCAGTCAGTCTGCAGTGATTAACGCAACCAGGATGGCAAGTTCGCAGTTAAAATCGTACTTCGTACTTGAATATGGTAATAAGGACAATTATTTCCATTCGTTCTTCACTGTCTCTCCGCCCCCTCGTCCTTGCTTTGTCTACTTTCGAATTGTCTCTCTTTGTACCGTCTGTCTCTTCTTGTCTTCCTACAAAACTTTCGTTCATTATTTTTATTTCTTTGTTAAGTTCGATTTGAAAGATCTTTAATTTTTCCGTCTGCATCTCCACTGTGACTTTCAAACTACACTAATTAAAAATTACATGCCGTCTCCAAATGTAAAGAGATGTCAGTAAATTTTATTTTCAATTCAGTATATATGAAACACCGAAGTTCTTCAGAACAGAAATGACTAATGTCTCCTAACCAGATATCTCGTTCAAAGCACTGGCAGGGTTACAGATTAACATCTAATTCTAAACGCTGTACCGGTTGAAATATATATATAAAATATTTACCCTATGGAACAGAGTCTTTGAAACGCTAGTAGTCGCTCGACTCTCCTTCTAAGAAGCCCGGAGGATCATTACCGTGGACACAATATCTAGCTGCTGTATCTTATTCTGAACCAGATGAAACTAGTCATACTGCCATATCCTATTTGGGGACATTTTTAATATTATTCTCCACCCTGTTTCTTCCGGGTAATCTCCACGCGTCAGGTTTTCTGACTAGGATGTTGCGTGTAACTATTCCTGTCTCCCTGAACGTGCAATATTCGAAACCAGGTCTATTATATTATAAACGAAGGAGGTCAGTTCTTTTGTCGAGGTTTCTACTGAGTGTAGAAAAGAGGTCGAGACGTTACTTACCTGCCCATTACATCAGACGTTTTGATAACGTAAGGAAGGTTATCGCCGGCTTCGATATCCTGTTCTTCTTTGTCTCTTGGTGCTTCATTACCTTCCTCAGGCCGACCACCGTCTTTCAAGGCATCTGCGCCACAGCGCCTGTCCGAAGAGGAGCCCACCGTATGGCCATGCCTGTTCTTCTGTCCAGATTTCTGGGAAATAAAACACTTTCATTTAGCATCAGATGTGAGAACTTTCAACAGAGTATCTTATGAATTCCTTTGTTAGAGGCAAAATGTATAATTTCCGATTGCACTCATTTGTAGGCAAATAAGTTTATTTGTTGTGACTAATGTACTAAGAATACGCGTAGATCTTGCAAGGAAAATATAAATGTCAGTAGCTTGCTTACCGAGGGCATAAATGAATATTTATTATAAAAGTCTGTTTAGATTCTAAACAATATCTCTCACTCGTCATCACAATCTCTAACATTCGAATATCAAGGCAATGACAATGAATCCACTGAACACGAGAATAGAACCAACTCCCTAAAGACGTGCACACCCGAACACACATCAGACAATGTGTTTTGTATTGAACTCATACAATTTTGTGCCATCATGCCCCAACAGGGCGACGGATCGATATTGTTTTTTATTTTTCTGGGATTATCTCATAAGCAACATTCCTGTCACAGACCGTCAACAGAACATCTACTTTGACATTCTGCTTGAAAAAATTGTTCAAAATAAAAACACAACAGAGAAGGGAAAGGAAAACTGTAAATTTTAATTAATTATTGGCTACATAAATTCCTGACTTTCGATGTCGATCATAAACGAAGTTCTACATGCGACAGATTTCTACATCTGACGATATATTTTCCGTAGAAGCAGGCACCTATGTTAAATACTCATACAAAACTGTCTGAAACTAGCATAAAATATTCGTACCCCCTTGAATTCCGCTGAAGCAGGATTTATTATATTAAATTCATCTGTGTCTGGTCTGTCGACGCGTAATGTTCCACGTGGCACTCTTACCTTGTGCTTCCTTGTACCTGGCATGACAATGTCGTGAAGTACCAGTCAGAAGTCAGGTCTGGACGTTCACTGAGCTGACCCACTGTTCCCTCACATCCACAGCCTCCCAGCAATGTATCTATCTATCTCATCATCCGACGATATCAACAGGCCAAATGTTTGTATCCGCACATCAGCCGAAACACGCAGGCGCGCCACGGTCCAAGATTGACCGGCCGTCTCGTCACCAATCACTTTATTACAGGCACAGACTGTACCGAAACGTCTACTTTCTCAATAGATTGTCTCACTTCCACTGCGCTGAATGCACTGCCATTACTAAATCTAAAATTAAGCAGCCATCTCCACACTCACGTGTCCGTCTGTCCTTCCAAATTGTCTTACTAACAGAATCGAAGACTTTGATACGGTATCGATCGCTCTTTAAACCCCTGAAGCCGAAGCTCGTCTAAATAACATTTAAACATTCAGTCCGTACCGCAAAGAAAACACCACACTTCACCATTACGGAGATAAACTGCTTAGCGCTGTATGAGGAAAGACTCTCTGGATCACTAAATTCTTGGACTATGTCCATCGTCTGTGTTTTTAAAAAGAATACTACGTTTCGTAAGCTAGATTTGCTTCCGTCCTCAGGTTAAAAAATTGGGAAGGGGCACCTACTAAGTTGGATCCGATAGAAATCGCCAAGTCCAGTGATTGAGGTTAGCTCTTTCTATGAGAAAGGATTTTATTACAAACTGAGTTGGCACAGTTCCTTAGAGGGTTTTTAATATAATTCTTTTTTCTTTGTGTGACAAATTACTCGGAAGACAGACAACGTAACTATACATATTCATCCCTGTTTCTTCTTTTAACCACAAACTTGCTTTCTCTGTCCACTTTCAATTTAATACGCTACAAATCTCAAGGTAACCTTCAAACGTCATAGTTTATTTTAAACGTTTCGAATATGGCGACAGCGCGAATACCAGAAGCCAGACCAGGTTATCCATGTTATGAAGACAAACAATGAATCTTTCTCATAGAACACAGCCTTTCCTATGTTTTCATGATCGCTACCAAACCTTCTGTTTGAATCGAAATCCCACATGTCAATCCACAGAGCAACATCACAGATGCGAAGAACAAGAAACACTTTGTTCACGAGATAAATTTAGGCAGTGCAGAGGAATTTCTGCGTATTTGTAAAATTACAATTTTAGAAATTCGTCATGTAAGTCGTTCCACGCGTGATTTAAGGTCCCCACGACGACGCATATGAATACGACTGTCTTCTGGGATGTTGTATCATGCATTCTGGTAGATACCGACCTAAGTTTAAGACGCACTTATCTCTGAAACGTCGGTTATTATCTACCATAACACTTGAAGGCAGATATGTAAGAAGAATTATATTAAATGGAGAACTAAAGTAGCAGTGTACTGTAAACTTATCTGCAAAAGTCTTCCATAAAAGAGATATAAACACGTATTAGAAGGTGAAATGTGAGCAGGTTTTACAAGTCCCGTCAAGTTATTGTTTGTGAGTTAGACGCCAACGAAAGTTTTCTGACAATAGAATTGTTTAAATTTTGAGTTTTATGGGGCCTCTGTCCTGTGTAAAACAGAAAATCCAGACATCAACGTATCAGTTAGGTTAGGTCGCCACTCAATCCCCAACTGTTCAGTTTCAACAAGCAAATCAGTTTCAGACAAAACACAGCCCAATTGCTGCACGACTTTTAACATTTTCATATCCAAGTCTGTTTACTGGGAGTAGAAATTTTACGTAAGATGAAGGAAAGGACACAACATATAATAACGAGTATTTGATTTCCTTCTTCCTCTTTTCCTTCACCTTTTCGTCCATCTTCATCATCTTCTCCTACTTATTTTTCGGGTCTTCCGTTATCTTAAAATTCTTCATAATCACTGCGTGCTCAGGTTTAATTAAAATGTTTGCACATTTTTGTGAGGAGATTGCTGTCTGCTTGAATTTTGCTCATAAATGTATCGACGTTTCGGCCTCCATCGCCCTTATGTTAGAGGCAGTGAGCGTCTCCGAAACGTCGATCAATTTCTACCACATCGCACGGCGCATAATCCGAACAGTCATCTTCATTATCGTCACTGTGATAACCTGAAATCTCGCGATTTTTATGAGGAATATTTTTATTTGTCCTTTAAGGATATAACACAGATACAAATCTGTCAGGTAATTTCAGCTTCGTAGACTTTTATTTTTAAAAAATACAAAAGGTAGACCTGTGGTTCAGAAAAGAGGGCGGGTCCCTTGTGACTCGTGTATGTAAACACTGAAATTTGGCCTTCGTACGAAACACGAATGTGACACCGAGCCGAATCGCTACGATTACCTGCTTGGCCGCAGGGCCGGAAATATTTTGCTCCTTTATGTGTCATAAGCAATTCTTAGATTGCTTTATTTAGCGTACAGCTGTGACGTCAGATGTATCATGTCTGATTCTGCACCCAAGTTATAATTCCTTGAAGAATTTATGGGTATACTTCCTGTAAATGCTTCAGTGTGTTTGTTTACGTCGAAGAACAAATATGGTTTATACAAACCAGCATGTGTGACGCAGACTAGCATTATTTCGATTACTTGATTATTCGCGGACATAAACTTCCTTTCAACTGCTACAAGGTTTTTGGCGTACATAAGAACTATCCAGAAAGGATTTTCAGCTATTTTTATGACCGACATGTGTTCCAAATGCCATTCGCTTAGCTTAATTAATTAATTAATTAACTATCGATACTAGATATCAGAGAATAACTGCGAATAGTGTGTATCAATACATAAACAAAAGAATTACATTACAGAACAAGTGAACACAATTATTTAGAAGCGAATTGTGAAGCTTCTCTGTGAATATAAACCAAAGAGCAGAAAATAACAGGCCTCAAGCCAAAAATATTAAAATGTTCTAACACATGAATACAGAACTAACCAGTACTTTAACCTTTGAAGCCAAAGCTAGTCCAAATTATATATTTAAGAATTCAGTCCGTACCGCGAAGAAAACACAGGCCTTCACCATTACAAAGATCAATTTGTTAACGCTGTTTAAGGAAACAATCGCTTTTTACAGCTGGAATCAAACGAAACATAAATACAAAATTCATATTTACAGAGCGTTATAGCAGGTGGTACATATAGTTACCATTAGACTTTTAATATTTAATGTATGTTCAATAACATTCCATACGGACGTGATTTTTCTCGAAGGCCAAACTCTCTTTTGTAAACATGTAGCGTATTATTAAATATTCATCCTCGAAATAGGAGAGATAAGATTTGGTCACCTGGGTCACTGCATTCCTAGTGAGTGTACAGCTTATTGTTGATGCCGGGGGGGGGGAGGTCTTCAGTGGTGCATCATCATCACCGTCGTGCTGATGCTGGACTAAAATTATCCTGCAAGTGACCACACACGCGGTTTGCCCGACCGGCCTTGTAAGGTCCCCTGATAGGCCCAATCTACGCCCACTACGACGAGACTGTACTTTGCTGTTTTCATGACATCGAGGCGGTTGCCAGCTTCGCGCTGGTAATGATTAGAGCCTCAGAGGGGTCAGGTCAGCTACGATGACGAGAAAAAAACATATCCGAGGCGACTCAATCAGTGGGACAACTATTTGGATATAAAACCTATTCAGTCTTTGAGTTTTACCTCCACTAAGCATAGGACAAAATGTTTATTTAAGTTAATAAACTATTAACTACAGTTTTAACTTTATAAAGGAACGAGTGGTGGTATAAGAAATCTCAAGGCAAAGATAAATATTTATCACGATTTTATGTAATGCACCCAACACGAAGTTTATCGATAATGAGTTTTTATTTCTACGTACCGGAACGCAAAAGCGATCTATGTGGCACTCCAGGTTGGAGAGAAATATGATTAGAAAGCAAAAGCGATCGATGTCGCACTCCAGGTTGGAGAGAAATATGATTTACGTCGAATCCACCTGCTGCAATGGAACGGTCCGTTAGTCCAGCATGCAACATTAACATTTCCACCAGCCTGTCACAAATTCCGGGACCCCCAAATTGCCAGAATAACAATGTGTAGTGCAGAAGTTCTCCAACTGCACGCCACAGTAATTCAAAATGAGATAGTGGCAATCAAAACACGAGTTCTTGGCACTCACTTGTGTGCTAAATCTTTCGTCTCCCACTTAATTGTACCGAAGAAACGCTCGACGCAGAAGAAACGAGCTACATTCTTTCGGACACCATTTTACAAATCGCTATTCCTGAGGAATAGCAGAGTAAGAAATTGATAAAAACAGAAGAAAATAAACTAAGGAACAGACTTATTAACTAATTACAGAATTAAAGAGGTGGTCTAGCGGTTAGAACGCTGGCCTTGTAATCCTGGGGTCTCGGGTTCGATTCCCGGCGGTGCCCGAATTTATAACTTGTGTTGGGCAAGGCCGTGGTCTAGGCAACACGGAGTTTTCCTCCGGGGGCTTCCCCGGTTTCTCCGTGGCATCCCAACAATTACCCCATTCACACACAGAAGAAGGCAATGCCAAACCACTTCTGGATCATCTGCCAAAAACGTATATGAACAGGTCCCAGTCCGAGAAAAGGATGGAAGGATCCTGTTCATATGGACCTGTCGTCAGACAGAACACTAAATAATAATAATAATAACCACAGTTGGTGTTTCAGCTGTACAAATATTCAAAACAAAACATCTTTTGCATGTGGAGTCCGGTCGGTGCAGTGAAATCGTTTCCAGCTATCAGAGTTCGATCCCCTGATACACCAATTTTAATAAGTGAGCACATTTTGCTACTTTATCTTTGCTACTATAATGCGGAGTTAAATCGAATGGTCCTGATTCAATGTCCTGGTAGGTACAAATCTAAATAATGGCGTCTCATTTATCACGAACCTATTTGTACCAATGCTTGGAGCTATTTGCTTTATAAAAGTAACAGCCAACGTTTCATCTTATTTAAAGACGTTGCTACAATATGGCCAACAGCGTCTGGAATTCATTCGGAATGCATTAAACACTGCCTCGAATCCGATGTAGATGAGAGTATAATATTAAAATGGATGTTAGACGAATACAGTACAAGGCTGTGGACGGGATTAAACTAGCTCACGAGAAGAACCAGAGACGGGTTGTTGTACACATGACAATGAAGCTTCAGGGTCCATAAAAATCATTGTTCCACCTTCAAAATTCGTAAAACGGTAAATAATGCACAATTATGGATATATATATATATATACCCTCATTCAACATTCAAAATTTACTAAAATTTTCACGCAGGCCACATCTGTCAATACAGTCAAAAGTTATTAACTCTCCCTAATGAGATATTAGAAGTCATTGTTATATAATGCAATAGAAACGTGCGTCTTGTTTACGAGACGCTACAATTAGTTAGGTTGAAGTGTCAAGAGATGGCATGAGTAGTAGCAGTTGTCTAAAATCCTCGGCCTCGCTCCAAGATTTCACGTGTACGAGATGAACAAATGAGTTTGCCAAGATGCAAATGAGTTATAAGAACACAAGATTACCGGGCGAGAGACCAAGGCGTTGGAGGTTTCTTGTTTATAACGCATCTGTTGGCTGTATCAGGGTACAGTTATTTCTCTACCGTGATCACGTGAAGAACACGAGTTCGCTCATTTGTTTTATAAAATTTATTCGAATTATGGCGACTATTTGCGTCGTGGCCACTGGAGAATCCATCAGACGCCCCAAAACATTGGTTAAAACTAAATATTCTACGCGACTCTCACCCGAAAGACGGAGTTGTACATTTCTACCTCCGCAGGGGATCGATCTCTGGCTGTCTGGCTTACAACAACAACAAAGCTACAAAGTCGACCGTTCTGGGAACAGCGCAATCTTGAAGATCTTCGAAAACTACTATGTAATGAGACAGAGAATCAGGATCTGACGTTGGTCCATGGACAGACAGGTGTGAAAATACCCCTAATTTTTTTATCATAAATACCACTAGTCATCAGCTATGTAATCTGTGCTCTTTGTAAAGTTAGCAAATATGAGTGATACAAAAAATATATGCAAAATTTTAGTCGGTAATCCAACAGGGAAGAGACAAATTTAAAAAGTGTGCTTAGCTGACACGGGCTGTTTAAGAATGCGGTGCGTGTGGATTGGATTTAACGTGCTCAGGATAGGATCCAGTGGCAGGCTGTTGTTAACACAATAATGAACATCTGAGTTCCATCAAAACAGAAATTCTTAACCAACTTTCATCAGTCGCCCAAGAAGACACGCTGTTTAACTTATTGAAATCAAAAGTGAATCATTGAAACAGAATGGCACAAGAACTCGCACCTTTTCGTAGGCAGCCAACATTACACGCGTGTAGTGAAATAAAGTATTCAGTCCCACCAACCGAACAAGTCAACTATCTGCTAGTTTTGTCAGACTTTAATTATTTTGTACAAGGATAAACATTTTTTTTTGTCCGTCACAAAACTATCAGTGTTTATAAAATCAATCAGAAACTGTTGATCAAGATGGTTGTCTTGTTGGGGTGTTTTACCACGTGGTCTTGTAGATACTGGCCGACGTTTCAGAGCGATTTATTGCCTCCATCACCAAGGCTTTTCTACAAGGCGCAAAGACCCTCAGTGAAACCAAAGTCAGTTGTCAGGTATTTATAAATAGAACAGCGGATGGCAATGATGGATTTGCTGCTACAGAGGACGCAGGTAATAGTGGGTCATTGTGTTGGGGCCTGTAGCAGGAGCTGGGCAGAAATAGACGTCTGGCTAGAAGCTAAAATCTCAAAATCAAACTATCTTTTGTTCCCGAGAGAAAGGTATGGACTGACCGTCGTCGGCTTGTCTCCAGGCAAGTGAGTTTATTACAAGTAATTGGATAAGGATTTTGTATAGATGCAAAGTGACTGTTTTGTGATAATCGCGGTCAGATTTCTGACTTCGATTAGTGTTTTGCTGTTTTATATTTGTAAGCAATGCGTTGGTAATATTTTCAACTCGCGGATTTTAATATCGGACAAGAAGTACGATTTTACAACACTGCCTCGGATGAATCCTTCAAAGGGACCTGACTTACGAGTTCTCAACCCGCGTTCCGTCTATGTGCTTTGTGCGACCAGAGTATACAATGCGATACTGTGTCTTTCTGTTCATAATAAAAGTTAGTTACCTGCCATTATAAAACCTGTTACGTTAATGTGGTCGATATTCAGCGGAATTAGTTATTGTGAGGGACATTTTCGCCAAATGACAAACGCATCTTACTGGGAGGGGTGGAAAATTAGGACGGATGAGACAACAAAAACTGTGCCCTTTGAAGCCGAAAGCTCGTCTAAATAACATTTAAGAATTCAGTCCGTACCACAAAGAAAACACAATACTTCACCAAAACCTGGGCAAGGAAATAATTTCAATTTACACCGAGAACCATATTAAACTGACAAAAAAACACTTTGTAGGCAATACGGAGTTACTGATTCATAAACTGGGTGTTGCATATAGTTACCACAAGGCTTTGAAGGGTTAAAGAGTGACTTTGTGAAAGAAAATTACAGAGAAAAATGTTAATCTGTTTACACTAAACTGCCATGAATTCTTGATAAAAATTTTCTCATTTATAAGTCGGTGGCCAGCGATTCGATAACGTCTAATGCGGCCTTAAGTCTGGAAGAGGTTTAGAACCCCCTGACATAAGTAAATCATAAAGTGTTTAGAAAACTCATTTGGAATCTTTTATGTTCTCATTACCAGTACAAAAGCGAGCAATTCTTTGTTCCATTTTTGTAGGTTGCTTCGTGCCTCGGTTCCATCAACTTTTCTTTCTTTCCCTCTCTCTCTCTCTATTGCCCGAATGCTTACGTAATGAACTCAGATCTACCCAGCGGCAGAGAGCGAGAACCCAGTTTATTTTTACAACGTCACAGAGCGAACATCAAAACAAGCGGAAACTCAGTCCTGTTTTATTGCCACCAGCAGCTGTAAACATGCGCGTTATGATATTACCCTGCTGACAGCACACTTAGCTGTTCCAAACTACGTTCCCGATATATTCCGTGAGTTCTGGCACGGAATGTTGAAACATCTGTCAAACGCGTTAACTCTTCCTTCAAAGACGCTCTTTAATCGCTGGAAAAAAAGAGATCGGTGTCTATTTAGGGCATAATAATAATAATAAATTGAATATAATAATAATAATAATAATAATCCGTAGCGTAAGAACCCTCTGAGAGCCAAAGCCTTACGTTCACGTGCCTAAGCAGAGGTGAACGATCATCCAACCAGATATAGGATGACGTGTGGTCAGCACGACGAACCCCCAGCCATCGCTAGCTTTCCTGACCGGATTACGCTACATATCGTAGCTCCCCAGTTTCCTCACGATGCTGGGTTGGCACCGGTCCCATACACCGGTCGAAAATCTCATGAGAAAACTTCTCCCCCAGCGCGCATTCCGTATCACCGGTCCGAAACATGACGCCTCAGACCGCGCGGCTACGTAATCCAACATTTTCCTGGAGGGTCTGAGAAAAACCACGATAAATCTCAGCCCAAAAAATGGCCGGTCACCGAGATCAATGTGTGCAATTTTACGTTGTAATTGACAATCGTCTCTAGCATGTGCATTTATCTTTGTGAGACCTGTACTGCGAATACTTGCCAGTGTCAATGCCACGATTCCAAGGACTATCCCAGACATTTTGGCTCATTACTCTGGTCAACAAAAACGTAATACGCCTGGTAATGTGACCAGGGCCTCGTTTTAAAAGCACAGCGTCATGTAATTTCAACTCCGGGAGTCGTTTGGCGCCAGGTAGTTTTCATTACAAGAGTTGATTCTAGGTGTCACCCTTAATGCTATGAAAAAATCATGATATTAGATTCACCTAGAATCTGTGACAACAGAAGGTAGATCCTCACTTTAAATGTAAATTCTAAACATCAGCACGCATTGAATTAAATGTAATTATTCGTGTTTTTTCCGTCTAATCACAATTGTATATAAATAAAATTATACATAAGATATTAAAATATCATTTACATATTTGGTACTTTATTTATTTATTTTTAACTTATTACATTTTGTCTTCTATACTCGTTCTTTCAAGTTCAGTAATAATTAAAAATATTTTAAATTATTTACGTTACAGGCCAATGTTAAACCACTATCACTTCAAAATATACCCTCACTCCAATGAATTTGGAAGTAAACATCATCAGAAGTTACACAACAACAGTAATTAAGTTTTAGTTTATAAGATTATAATTTTTAACTTTTAACTTTACACCTGAAGATGGTTCAATGTAACCGAAACATGTAGTAAAAAGTTGTACCAAATATGTAAATGATATTTTAATATCTTATGTATAATTTTATTTATATACAATTGTGATTAGACGGAAAAAAAACACGAATAATTAAATTTTAATTCACAATATGACGCAATTATATCAACTTATGAATTAAATGTGTTTAAAATGGTCCATAGTGCTAATTAATGAATTTAAAACAAACTGACCGAACAGCGAAGTCCATGGTAAATATTCTTTAACGATTTAGGTAAAGCACCGGAAGCCATAAAAAAGCATGACGAAGTGGTGGTACAGCTCCATGGATTCATAACCTCTGATTCACACCCGAGACACTTAATTCTCAGGAAAATACGTCGGTAGATACTGCATAGGAGATTAGGTGAGCCCCAGAGCCAGTCTGGTCGTTGTGGCAACGAGAAAAATCCCTGCTTCTACCAGGAGTCGAACCTAAGTCACCCAGCACATCGAATAGTCATTATACTTATTTCGTAATCCTGGCGGTAAGTAGGTATCTGTGAAACGTCTATCGGTTTATATAAAATTACACGACGTGTGACTTCCCAGAAGACAAGCCATGTCAACCATAACCTCAACATATTTAAAAGCGGGCAGTGAAAACGAAACACGTGAATTGACACGTCGAGTGAAGGAGCTCAAAGCTGGAACTTTTAAGGGCCCCAAGAACTCGCATTACGTAGGTTCCTTCCTCATGTGGCGTCACATTTCGTTGTGAAAACTTTCAGGGCGCGATGGGACCCAAAACCTGTGCAGTGTGTACGGAACCAGCCAATCAGCGTTGCGGTGGGTGTCACGTGATCTACTACTGTTGCAGAGACCACCAGAGACTGGACTGGAAGGGACACCGAAGCAGATGCAAACCCTTTAAGGCAAATATAAATCGCAGATAGTATAAATACAGGGAATGTCATCAACTACCGAAACGTCGAATTGATAATAATTGATATCTGAATGCAATTATGTGGGAACAGCTTATGTATGTCATGCAGGTTGCGGATAACAAGGCGCTGGGTAGGCACCTCATCGCCACGCGGGACATCAAGGTGGGGGAGGTGATCCTGGACGAACAACCTCTGGTGGCGGGGCCCTCACAAGTAACTCCTCCTGTGTGCCTGGGATGCTACAGGATACTCACAGAGCAGTCCGCATGTGCATGTCTGGACTGTGGCTGGCCGATGTGCAGCGAGGACTGCGCGCGCACCCCGGCACATCGAGCGGAATGTGACATCACCAAGCTCAAGAAGGGCTCCAAGGTATGGGCCTCCCTATTTAAATACGACCCGGGGACCCCCCCCACCCCACCCCCTCTGCCCTGGATCTCACCAAACTTCTCTTCTTTTCTTCGGACTTGAGAACGAGAATTTCGTGATACGCTTTCCGCTTCGCCAAAAACATCAAATTCATCGGCTGACACTCTCTTATCAAATGCAAAAAGGGTCGGCTTCCTGCTTAGTTTTGTGCGTGTTACAGGTTACAGTAAGGAATTTCCTTCAGCCGCATCCGATCTACCAATGTGTGACGACGCTCCGTTGTCTGTACCTCCGCGACTCTGACCCGGTTAAGTGGGAGCGCCTTCAGTCTCTCGAGTCGCACTGCGAAGAGCGCAAAAAGACGCGACGCTACGAGGACGACCGCGTCACTGTGGCGCAGTTCCTGCGTCACTTCTTCCACCTGCAGGACTTTGAGCAGGAAGAGATTCTGCGAGTCTGTGGGATTTTGCAGGTTAGAATCACAACTACGGGTGTCGTAAGGGTTCACTATCATCAACCAACACAATATATTTCCCCGAATGATATATGAGGATCTCCTGGTGGTACTTATGTCATTGTTGGTTGAAGATGGCGGCGGTATATTCCTCCGAAACGTCTCTGTCTTCCTTCAAGCTTCATACGCGGCGTTACAACCCAGAAAGGCCAACCGAGACACTTCCGAGAGTTCCATTGTTCTGTTATCCTCTGACCTCCGTCTCTCAAAAGATTTCTGAAGCGAAGAAGCGTGTTTCAGGTGAACGGACACGAAGTTCCTGTAACCGATCCCCCACACGTGGCGGTGTACGACCAGGCCTCTCTTCTGGAGCACAGTTGCCGTCCGAACTGCTCGAAAAGCTTCACTCCTGATGGAGGTCTCATCATCCACGCACTGGAGCCTATTCTCAAGGGCCAGCACCTGTCCATCTGCTATACGGACGCTCTGTGGGGCACCGCCAACAGGCGTCACCACCTCGCGGAAACCAAGTTCTTTTGGTGTCGGTGTGTCCGGTGCGCGGATCCCACTGAGTTCGGGACGTACTTCAGCGCAGTCCGCTGTCTGAGCAAGTGAGTGGCTGAAAAACCCCCGGGGGGGGGGGAGAATTTCTTCTTTCATAAAACATTTTTCTCCCTTCCTCGTTATCTTCCATTCTCAACAATTTCCTTTTTTCTCTTTTCCTGCAGGACGTGTGACGGGTACCTGGTACCTGAAAACAGTCTTCTGGAGGACAGCGACCTGGGGACGACCATTTGGCGGTGCGGACGATGTTCCGTGTCGGAGACAGCGCCCAGGGTGCTGTCGGTGCTGGAGCGAGTGGGCTCGGCGCTAAGCAGCATGCAGAAGGGCGACCCGCGGGTTTGCGAGCACTTCCTGGCGCAGTTTTCCCCGGAGCTGCACCCCAACCATTACTACCTCACAGACGTCAGATTAGCCCTTGCTCAACTCTACGGACAGACCAGCGACGTGGGCCTGGTTGGGATCTCAGACCAAGACCTGTCCGAGAAGGCCTCTCTCTGCCGACAGGTACTGGAACTAATGAACACCCTGGTGCCAGGTAAGTTCCGAAAGTTCTCTCATATCCCTGCTGATTCATCACTAACTTTCAACATACATCATTTGATACAACCTTAAGAGATAACTCAACATCTTAAACAGTATTCATGAGATCCGGAGATAGGGATTAGCTCTATCTAGTGGGCCCAACTGTGTAGGAACCTGAAGACGGAGATAGAGTCCCATCTCCGAAACGTCGTTTTACGTTTCATATTTACTAGACGATGGATAATATCCAAGAGGTCCGGAGATAGGGATTAGCTCTATCTAGTGGGCCCAACTGAGTAGGAACCTGAAGACGGAGATAGAGTCCCATCTCCGAAACGTCGTTCAACGTTTTATATTGACTAGACGATGGATAATATCCAAGAGGTCCGGAGATAGGGATTAGCTCTATCTAGTGGTCCCAACTGAGACGGAGATAGAGTCCCATCTCCGAAACGTCCTTTTACGTTTTATATTTACTAGACGATGGATAATATCCAAGAAAATTTTTATTCAATTGACTCTTCACCATCGTCAAGAAGTTTTAGATCTAGTATTCATGAGGATTGAAGTTTTCTGCAACTCACCAATTTTGTTGCAATGACGCAGAAAAGTGTCGCGTTTCTATAACCCTGAGATAAAACTTTCAGGCGTGTAATACGTATGTGAGTTACGGCACAAGAATCACGAAATTCACAGTGACGCGTTAATGTGTCATTCCACGTACATGTTTTTTTTTTAAATATCATGATTTTGTGCCAAATCGTCGGCAGAGCCATTTGAATTACGCGTGAATGACTTGTACCTAATTATGACGAGACTGTTCTCTTCCGCAGCGGAACACAGAGTAAGGGGTGTGCTGATGTTTGAGCTGCACGCCGCTGTAGCCGAGGTGGCCAGGAGGGCCTCGAACAGGGGTCAATTAGACCCCATGGCTCTCAGAGATAGTCTGCTCGTAAGTAAAATAGCGTCACATAACATTACCATACTGCTTTAAGGTTATTGCTTAATGCGTTTCGAACAAGAATTAATTTCTAATTTTCAGCATCGTACATTCATCATACGCTCTTTGTATCATCATAAGATTACTGGACCATCTTCTATTTAGTACCCACTACTATTTTCTTAATGGTAAATGCATCTCTCAACGATTAAACTACACTTTTCTTGTATTCACTTTAATATTATCCTCGCATTTGTCAGCTTTATCAGTGACTTGCTGCTGGCAAGACAACTGGGTTAAATTCCCGCTCGTTGTACAGATGTCTCTCTTTGTAACCGGTGTGTCTAGACCCCGAATTTCCTATTCAGTTGGTACCTGGAGGTCTTTCGCTGAGGATAAAACAGCCGAAGCCTGAGACTAGCCCCTGTCTCCTCCGTCAAGTTCCGACACCTATAGTCTTCACAGTGCATAGGTACACGGAAAAGTCCATCTTACTTAAGTACATAAGAATATGTAGAGGCCTGCTTTATCGACGACGTTAAATTTCTCCTTCTTCAGAATACAAAGCTTGAGAATGTCGCTTCGACAGGACGTTGTGTCACCAAGGACGACATTTACAGAAACCTTGGCCTTCTGTTAATTACGTCATAACAACGCGATGTTGTTCTGTCCACGCAGGAATCCAAGCGACTTCTGACGGAAGCATCGTTCCTCCTAAGCCACGAACCGGAAACACTTCCAGAAGGAAAAATTGCTCTGCAGGCCAGGAAGAACTTGACAGACCTTAACACACTTCTGCAGAATATCCACGCGTCTATCGGCGATAGCCCACTATAGTACAGACATCGGTGAATGGATCAGTCCCGATGACCTGAACGTGTTTCGAGGAGGGTCTGAGCTGACATCTTCCGAAAATAAGCAAGGAAAAGCGCGCTTTGGAGGCAGAAAGAGGCCCGCTGACATGTTTATATATTGATAATATGATCCTTTATGTCTTAATTTTCCTGACAAAAATGTATAACAACGATATGAAATAAAATCGAGGTTGTCAAATTAAGAAGAGTGAGATGGGTGGGAGCATGTAGCATGCATTGGATAGGTAATAAATGTATATAAAGGCGGGTAATTTCTTTACAGGCTGCACGACTGAGATATTCTGAAGAACTACTCTGTTCCAGGAAGTTGGTTAGTCAAATTAGCACTTCAATTAAGAATCCCATAAAGTGTTACATTTAAATGACGGGAGGGCCAGTCATTTTGCGTCAGCAGAGCGCATTCTACGATTTTCCGGATTCTACCCATACTGGTATATACTTATACAGGATGTTTCAAAAGTCGCTGCGAACCTGTAATAAAATAAATACGCTTCTAGTGGTCCGAATAGCTCTCACCGTCTACGGCATAAATGAATAAAAGGTGACAGTTTGGGTCACAGTCACAACTCACGTGCACAGGTATTTTTAATCACCCTGTTCATAACATAAGTCGACGTATTGACAATGACGTAGCAGAGATAAATGTGCTGTTGTAACAAAATATTTTTTTGGAGATATATTGTTGCACATTTAATAAATCAGAACGTTCACTGCCGATAAAACAAGAGTGTACGTACAAAACTACATGCAATTTAGCTTCTCCAAATTTTCTAATTAAAACTACACAAAATTCTGGTTAAAGGAGGAAAAGAACAGAAATGCGAACATTTTTAGTCGGTGGTCTAGCGGTTAGAACGATGGCCTTGTAATCCTGGGGTCTCGGGTTCAATTCCCGGCGGTGCCCGAATTTATAACTTGTGTTGGGCAAGGCCGTGGTCTAGGCATCACGGAGTTTTCCTCCGGGGGCTTCCCCGGTTTCTCCGTGGCATCCCAACAATTACTCCATTCACACACAGAAGAAGGCAATGGCAAACCACTTCTGGATCATCTGCCAAGAACGTATATGAACAGGTCCCAGTCCGAGAAAAGGATGGAAGGATCCTGTTCATATGGACCTGTCGTCAGACAGAACACTAAATAAAAATAAATAAAAACTTCAAAGCAAGAGACGTAAATTTAAATGTAAATATAATATTAAGATGGATCTTAAATTATTATGGCGTGAACAGGATTAAACTGGCACAGTTGCAAAACTGTTATGAACAGATAATGAAATTTGGAGTTTCAACAAGGGCGTAAAATTCATTTATGAGGTGAGGAAATATAACATTTTCATTATTTTGTCGTACCCCCTTCAATGTAAGTTTTGTGTCAGGAACCAGGTAAATTCTGCACCTGATGTGAACAAGTATCTGTAAGGTCAGTGACCACTGTTCTACCTACAAGGCCACAGAGGGATCATATTAACTTTGTGACCACTACAGAGATCTTCCTAGAATCATAAGTTCACAATTGTTCGCGGAAAAGTGTGGGAATCGAAAACAGTATAAAGCGAAACATGGCAACTTGTACAAGGTACTGCAATTCCCCCCTCCACCGGCCCTAGAAACGCCTTCCAGCGGCCAGGCGACCGGACAGGCCCCTCCAGTCTGTCGTGGAGTGTGAAGGTATCACAACAAAGAGGCAGAGCGCAGAAGGAAACCATGTTCAGTGTAAGTACAAATATTCGTTGTGTTCTGTTAGTCTTTGTGCTGTTTTGGGGACATCTGTCCATATTAAATCCCCATATCGGGGACGTAGAAATCGATATCGAACTGTTTTATCACTTTAGATAGTCTTTATAGAACCAAATGCCTTAATGATTCAGCGTCAGACACTGTACGTATTCCCTTATTTGCGTCATGTCGCAGCAGCTATTCATATATTTGTTCCTTTCTACTAACCAACTGAAATGTCTCCCTCTATCTTTTTTTTTTTGTAATGGGCGGAATTCCGGTATTTCACTTCATTCGAATTAGTACGTGTAATTTTATGCTGCTGATAAATTACGCGGTACTTCAAAATGCTGAATTCATATACGATCTTGCAAGAACCGACCCCAACTTCCTTTCTAAGCTCCGTGTGACTTCTTCCTCTTCCCAAAGATGAAAATTCAGCTAAAGGGAAGGAGATTTGAGACGATAGAAGAGATTCAGGCA